CTTGAAAAGTTATACCCAATATTTCCGAATCGAGTATTATTTAGTTTACATAGTTTTGATCTAAATTTGTGAGCTTCAAAAAGCTATCTCCATCAGACCAGAACTGAAAAGCTATTAAAGGTTTGAAACTGGTGGTTAAACAGGAGGAAACTATGCATAGACAGAAGCCATGTCAAGCTGGGGGGGGGGGATCGTTAGAATGCTTTATTCTGAGTGCCTTTTGATAACTATTACTATGAATTCCTATGATTTGGTGAACTGTTATCCAAGGAAAAACTCCTTCTCACCATATGCTTAAAAAGCACTTACGGAGTGTATTCGTCTCTAAAGCAGATTCAAGCATATATCCTTACGTTGTTCATTACGGAAGAGAATATGAGCTTTCTATTACTGTACTTTCTCCTATTTTTTTCTTTCCTAAATTTTGAAGGACATTCCGCTCACCGCAGCTGCAAAGAGTGGTCACACTGATGTTGTAAGGGTGCTTATGGAGAACGGAGCTGATGTCAACAAAGAAAAATGGGTACGTTAGAGACATAACTTGTATTTGTGATGTCGCGTTTAGTCAGAATTTGAAAGACAAATTTCGTATGGCTGTTTAAATTGTTCCCTTGAGACGTTCTACACATTGTGTTCTTTTCAAGAGTTACTTTGAAAAGCCTTGCTTGAAAAGTTAGATGTGCATTATTCCGGAATAGAGTATTATTTTGTAGCTTCGCTCTGAGTGCCCCTATTAACCAATTTTATGAATTCCTATGATTTGGTGAACTGTTATGCAAGGAAAAACTCCTTCTGACCTTATGCTCGAAAAACTCCCGCAGAGTGTAGTTGTTCCAAACGCAGATTTATCCTTACCGTGGCCATTAAAAGAAAGAAAATGACCTTTATACATTACCGTTCTTTTTCCAATTTTTTTCCTACTTATAGGAGGACACTCCACTCACTGCGTCTGTAAAGAATGGTCACGCTGATATTGTTAGGTTACTTTTAGAGAACGGAGCTGATCTCAACAAAGCAGTATGGGTACCTTAGAAACATAAATTGTATTTGTCATGTCGAGTTTAGTCAGAATTTGAAAGGTAAATTTCGTATGGCTGTTTAAATTGTTCTCTTGAGACGTTCTATATATTAAGTTCTTTTCAAGTGTTACTTTGAAAAGCCATGCTTTCAATCATCTTTCCTCACGTTGGTAGTTAAAGAAGAGAATATGGTCTTGATACCTAACTTTTTGCATTTTTTTTCCCTTTCCTACATTTTGTAGAACACTCTACTCTCTGCAGCTGTAGAGAATAATACTAATGATAATACTAATATAGTGTTTCTGACCGCATGCAGCCTAATGCTGGATTACGGGTGCAGGTTAAGGTGAGAACAGACGTCAGCATATCAGGCGCCTCTGGCAGCCGCTTCAGTCG